TGGGTACTGGATTTATAATGTAGGCTGTGAATCTTACTGAAGTTGTGAAGGATCCTGGATTTAATGATCTTTTGCCAAGCCGCACTTGTGCAGGGGAAACTAGTTCAGGAGGTTCCAAGATTTTATGTCGAAGAGCCAAACGGGTTTCATTGACATGCCGGTTGGTATTGAAGGTTCGAAAAAATTTGATCAGGATTTAGGTGAAGGTTGCTAGTTAACAAATATTGTTTAGGTTAAGCTAGGAGACTGAAAATTAATGAGGCTTTGAACTACAACTAATTGATAATAATCAAGCCCCAAATGATGTTTTTGGTGGGTTTTGATCTAATTTGAGGATGAACCCGAAAGTTGTTGATTGATTTTGGATTCTATGGAAAAATTGGTTATCTGAGGAAGATATACTATTGTGTTGTTGACAACATGTATATTACAGAGTATTATATGTTGATTAAATATAATACTTCTCCATTTTTATTCTTGCAACCACTTTGACATATACTTTAAGAAATATATTAGACTAGATAAATAGACAAATTATTTGAAATAACTTTACCTCTGATAGTTCTTAGAATTCAAATTTTATGGCTTAATTCGTTTGTTTGCTTTTCTTAATTGCGCTGTTAAATGACGAGTCAAGAACATGTGTTGCAAGTATAAAAATAAATTAAAAAAATAAAAGTATATATTTTGTACTTGTATTTAGCATAAAGCAATTTTGGGTACTCAAACTGCAAAATTTCAAAGTAGTGATTATTTATTATAACTTTTAGCGTAGTTGAGCAAGTTATGGTAACCTGTCGTCTCTCTATTCTCATAGAGTTTTGCTTCACATAAATTGTTCTCTTTTGCCTTCAAAAGGTTAGTTCTTTTATTTAAGAGCAAAGTTCAACTAATGACGAGCTCTCAAAAAAAAAAAAAAAAAAAAAGTTCAACTAATGACGATTGACATATTTTCAATTTGATTTGTTCCTTTTGAATTTTTCTTATACTATGCCCTATTTGTTAGTTAGCTAATACTTGATTTATATCATTGATTGTGATAACGGATTTAACTAGCTGTAAAACAGCTATTTGGTACTCCTTATTAACTTTATTTTCACTTACAATGCTTTTAGTGCCACCAATTTAATTAATTTCTCACAAATTCACCCAATCATAACTTCAAAGAACAATAATACACCAAGTTGACCAGTAAAAAAAAAAAAAAAAAAAAAAAACATGCTAGTGTACATATACGAGTAACTTTTATCTTAGTGTATAAATAAGGTTAAAATATAGTCAAATAAAATAACCATACGGAGTATCACATAGCCTAAAATTATTGGAGGGAAAATTTTTATTGAGAGCTTGACATATAAGACATTTTATGAATTGATGACGTCAGCAACGTTTTGTTATAGTATTAGTTAGATGAATAGCTGTCAAAAAAATTGATTAATTAATATGGGTGATTAATGTTAGAATAATTACACTGTACGAGGGACATAGTCATTAAACCATTGTAATTACGAAAACTACTTCTACAACTGAATTGAGAGTTTGGGACCCATCCTCCATTGACTTTTATCATGACTACTGTCACCTTCGCCATCATCTAACCACAAACACCATGAAGCAAATTCATAATACTTCGTAATAAAGTAGACATATATAGTTGAATGGTTTTGTGGGAAAAGAAGATAATATGGGAAGATACATTATTGCTTGCATTAACTAAATCAATCTATAATCACAAATTATAAATCACAAATCAGCACTTTGTAATTTGTTTAATTTTCAAGGAAATTTTATTAGCTTGAGAATGACATTGAATTAAAGTTGATATAAAGAGTACGTTCAATTTTTATTTTTTTTAAATTTTTTTTTTAACAACATACATGGTCTTCCCATATATAATCACAATCTGGCCAGTGGCGGAGCCAGGATTTTTCACCTAGGGGGACGGAATAAAGGTGGCGTACATTCTATAAATGGACAAACCTTTTAAACATACAAGAAATTGTAGGGACTATGCTTAATATTTATAAGTTTTACAACCTGGAAATCCAAATTTCTTAGTTATACAGTCTAAAAATTGAAAAAAAAGCATATTTACAATAACAACTTCACCTTCAAATATTCATTTTTGTTTTGAAAGTAATATACAATCAAAATTATCAAATAATTCACAAATGTGATTTCTAATTCACGATAATCCTAACAAGTAAACAATTTCTTATTCAAATTTGGTCAATAGCGGATCCATAGGTTCAAAGTTTTTAAACCCGTGACAATTTGATTTATATTGAGATATATAATAAAACCAAACACCTTTACCCGAAGTTCCTACTATAACCAATAATTTAGGGTTGTAATGTATGCATTTATATAAAAAAAAATTATGTAAATTACTATGGTAATTTAAAAGTTAGAACATGATGCCATTAAGTAGTACTATGTATTACTTCTAATTGAATGTGTGAAGTAAAGAAACATGCAAGAAAAGAGTAAAACTTTGAAATAAAAATAAGAAGAAAAAAAATGTTGGTCAAAGGGATTGAACCCATGACCATGGAGACTACTAGTAAGCCTTGAAACCATTGAACCAAACCCTTTTTCTTATGGTATTTGCTGCACATAATTAGTTTTAACTATTTTTTTTTCAGCTGTCCCCCCTTGTACCCCCCTCCCTCCGCCACTGAATCTGGCTACATCTAACATCCCTGTTTATCTTATTTTGAACCATAAATTTTTATTAATACTTCATAAAAAGTTACATATAACATAGCCATGTCATATATCATTGCTTCACTAGATTTCATACAAAAATTTATGTTTCATGTTAGATATTACTTATCTTCAATGGATATGTCTTAATGTACCTATGTACATACAGCTTTATAATATCAATTTTTTTTTATTAAAGATCATAAATTGAAATAAACAATATATTATGAGATGGAAAGAGTAAGGGCCTGTTCATATTTTCTGAACTGAGCTGAACTGAACTGAACTGAACTGATTGGAGCTGAACTGAACTGAACTGAACTGATTGGAACTGAACTGAACTGAACTGAACTGAACTAAGCTGAAATGAATATTTTATGAGAGAGGGAAATTAAGAGCTGAACTGAACTGATTGGAGCTGAACTGAACTGAACTGAACTGAACTGAACTGAAAATAAGTAAATATGAACAGACCCTAATACCTGTCATCTAAAATGAAATATGATGAGTAGACTAACATGTTTATTTTTTAATTTTTTTTTTTAAACAAAGGTTGAAAGAAAGTAGGCGTACATTATTGCACCAAAGCGTAGTCTTGTAAAATAATAAAGTAACTCTTATAACACTGATCTGGTAACCCCTTTAATACTGACCAAGTAACCCTTATAATACTGACGAAATAAGCCTTGTAAAACTGAACGAGTAACCCCTATAACACTAACAAAGTAATCCTCATAATTGATGGCCACATTGTGTGGCCAACCACGTATAAGATTTTGTGTTTAGAATAACAAATGTTTATAGCAACATTTAATTAATAGAATTGGTCATTGAAGTTGTAACTTGTAAGCATTACGATTACAGATGGAAACAACTTTAATTTCTTGCTTTTTGTTAACCACCACAATAAAGTGCATCTAATTAAGACAATCTCATCAAATGGGCCGCCCCTCCCTCTATTCACTTCCATGACATACTTGACTATGTTTAGTTCACCTAATACGATCTGAATCTAATAGAAATGCCCATTTCTATTTCTCACAATCATACTATAAAAATTTTGACAAAAAACTGTACTTCTCATCAGTTATCAACTCATCATCTCATCCAATGATACAAAACACAAGTACCTTATCATCAATCCATTACCTTTAATTACATAGTACTATAGAAACAAAGTAAAGTTAGTTCATAGGTAAAGACAAGTTGAGAAGCAAACAAAATAATGCGCAAAAAGCTAGTGATTTCTGCAAACAATTATCAAACACGTTTTTCACTAATTGTAATTTACATTAATCAACAATAAAATTATGAACTTGTCCTACATTTGGTCCAGGCTACACCTATTTTTCCCCTTAGCTTGGCCGTGGTTGGCTCTAAGCTCAATAATTTGCTTAACGTCTCACAATCACGTACCACTGATTCAGCGCATTAACAATACTCAGCTGCCTTTTGTTATGCTCCATGCTTGAAATGATGTACTTTCTCTGTCTCATAATATAATAATACCAGTATAATTTATTTAATTTGTTTTTTTTACAGAAACTTAATGAAATGATGAGTGTGTAAATTGACGTTTAAGAGGGAAAAAAATGGGTGAACAACCGAGCAAACTCACATGTGAGTATAAAAGTGTTGAGAAGTGTTTTCCAAATTGAAGAAATAAAAAAGTTTTTCACTTTATAAGGCTAAAGGTCGGGTTACTCCCCTCATTCTCATATGGTTTTGAGGTGGAACCTTATTGAACGTATAAAGTGGACAATTGAGGATTTGTGGCGGATGTGGTCTAGGCCCGTTTATCATGGTATTAGAGTTGAGGTTGGGTTGTGTTGTGATTTGAGCCAATATTATGGACAACTCGCATGTGGAGGGGGAGTGTTGAGCCAATTATATGAGAATACCCACATGTGATGAAGAAAATTGTGTTCACTTTTTAAGGCTAAGGGGTTACTCCCTTGAATGAAAAAACTTGAATATAGGGATACTTTATTTAAGTTAAAAGTAGAAGTAGCACCAAATTTGGGGAATTATGGGTGATATATTATATGAAAAAAATAGAAAAGTTGTTATTGGTCGATATAATTATAAGATATTATTGTGTAATAGAAAGATTTTTTTAGAAACAAACATAACAATGTTGGGCAACCTTATATGAAATACATACATTACATTATGGATAGAGGGAGTACTATATTAATTAAGTAATTTTGCCAAGTTATTAATTGGTACACATTAAACAAACCTCTAATCAACTCATCTCTTCTTTGTCTATCCTCCTCCATTTTTGCACTACAATGATTCTTACTTCCGGCTACTGGAACTTGGTATCTCCTCGCTAAGAGCATGCGCGTGTACACACACATTGTTGTATTCTAGCTCTTTTTTCACCATTTTAGTAGACTTACTTACACATTCATTGTTTGTATATATATGTTTTTCTAGGAAACTCCCTTGGAAGTTGGTGTAGGAGAAAATGTAAGGAGAAACTCGACGTTGATTTGTACGTCGATTTTGGCTAAAACAGTTGATGAAATGCTGGTTCAAGTAAGGGAAGCCAAGAAGCAAGGAGTCGACTTGGTTGAACTTCGGTTAGATTGTTTGAACAACTTCAATCTACATCATGATCTTGAAGCTTTACTAAAACATACTTGTTTACCCACTATAGTTACTTTCAGGTGCTTAATTAAGTTGATTAAAGTAGTAGTTTTTTTTTCTGCCTCTTGTATACTGACATCTCTTTTTCACTATGAACTACTTACAATTGTCCAAAAAATTAAATTAAAACTTGATAAATATAATTGACAATTTACAAATTAGAACAACTACATTGAATTTAATATCCATAATTAGTTAATTACATACTCTTTGAGAGTGAGGGATAACTTAATTGGTTAGAGCTTTGATTTCATCCTGATTCCAAGAGATCCTGGCTCATCACCCATTTTTATGGCTCTCTAAAAAAAAAATTATAATAATTACATGGAAAATTTGTAAAGAAGGTACTTTTAAGTGAGTAGGCCTTATTGTGACAAAGACACTTTTATTAAAAAAAAAATGGCACAAAAGGTCTTTATGTTTTATTTGTGAGGAGGGCCCTTTGACCATTTTTCGTCGTTGACTTTTTGATTTTCCGGCAAAAAAAAGTCAAGTCTAATTGTTAGCGAAGATTGATGGGATGTTAATTAATTGCGTATATATGAGTAAATATCCCTTCGAGGCTTCGATCTTATTTGTTGATTCATACTCCCTCCATCTCTTTATTTGTGCCCTATTGTCATTTTTGGGGTCAAAATAATTTGACCTTAAATTACCGTTAATGTATAAAAGATAAATTACCGTTATCGTCTCATAGTATATTTTATTTATATCACGTTTTTATAATTTTTATGTGTGTGAATATAAAAACATAGACGTTTTAATGCGCATTTTAAATACCGTACACAGTCAAATGGGGCAAAAAATAAGTTACATAGTGTATAAAATTACAGAGTAGATCTTACGAAGAGAGCAACCGTTGACTTAATTAAAGATTCTAATTTTACGTTAAATAGTCCCAGTTTTTTAAAAGAGTCAAAAATTGGTGGACTAGCGGCTGGATGAGAGAATAATGATGATTAAAAATTGTACTTATAGTACAAATTGTTTAAAAGTAACAATAGAAAAAAAAAATTATAAATTTTGGCACCTTCCCTAGATAAATGGAGGAAAATTAATCAAGATTTTTTTAAATAAATTGACAAGAGTAATCCCAACTTTGTTCGATTCGCCCAAAATAATTCAAACTTTGGATTATTTTTAAATAATCCAAACTTTAATGTGAATTTTCTTCTAATGGTCCCAGGTGAGCTATAACCGGTTGAATGGGTAATTTTTTTTAACAAAAAATTTAACTTACACATGTCACCACATGATTGGTCAAAAATACTAATTAACACTTTTTTTTAGGAAATACTAATTAACACTTAAAATAAATCTATACTTAGTATTTAAAAAAGCAAACCAAAAGAGACATATGTCATCATTCTATTACACTTCCCTAACTTCTTCTTCAACCCAACGTGCCACATGTCATTTTACCTTTTTTATTTTAATTATACAATTTTTCTAAACTCTTTCATCAAACACTTCATCTTCATCTCCCCTCTTTAATTCAAGATTTTTATTTTGTATCTTTGATTTTAGTCCCTCCATCTTCTTTCAATTAAGTCTCATTTCAAATTAAAGTCCCAAATTTTTTATTTCTTTAATTATGTTTTCAGTTACATATTACACTCATAACTATTTACTGGTATTTTCTCACTCATTTCTCAGTGTAATTTTCTATGAACAAGTCGTACATTGCACGGGCCAAAAGGCTAGTTATTAGTTACTAAACTACACTTAACTGCTGCAGTAGCATATTGACAAGTCTTTATGTTTGGATATCAAGTCTTTAACAAAAAAACTACACTTAACTAAATAAATATAAAAATTATTTATAATTTTTTTTTTTCTTCTTTCCAAAAAAGAAAAGTAAATATAAAAATTATTTATAAATAATGAAAAAAAAAAAACCACCACCACCAGCAAACCTCCCAGCCCTCCGCCGGTCCGCCCCCACCCCCGTCGAGCCAAGACCCACCGATTACCCTCGCCGGCGCTTCCCTCCCCTATTGTCTGCGTCGACACTTAACCATCACAACCCACCACGAAATCCCCTTTTCCTCCCACGAAATCCCCACTAAATCATCATCAACGAACTCGAAATCATACTCAAAATCATCACCATTACCATCAACATTAAGAAGCCCATTAACCATCAATATTCAGAAGCCCAATAACAATCTTCCTCCTCTAAATCAGAACTATACCCTTGAAACTTTTCTTCTAGAACTTCACCAAAATCATCAATGGCTATTTGAGTTTTGAGTAGGGGTTTGTGCTATGGTGGTTTAGGGGTAAGGGTAGGGAAAGCGCCGGCGAGGAGAATTGTGGATCTGAAAGCAATGGGGAAGTAGGTACCAAAGCGGGAGAGTTGGGCGGGGGACCATGGGTGGGGGCAAGGACGGTGGTTGTGCAGTGGTGAGTTTTTTTAGTTAATTATTTTTTTTATTGTTTTTAATTTAATTTATTTATCTTTTTGGCCAATTACACTCTAGCATGTGTCAATTAATTTACTATTACAAGTCAAAAAACCAGTTGGGACTATTAGAAGAAAATTCACATTAAAGTTCGGATTATTAAAAAATAATCCAAAGTTCGGATTATGAAAAAATAATCCAAAGTTCGGATTATTAAAAAATAATCCAAAGTTGGGATTATTTTGGGTGAATCGAGCAAAGTTGAGATTATTCCTATCAATTTTTCCTAAAAAGAAATACGGAGTTTTTTTTTTTTTTTTTTTTTTTTGAAGGAAAAAAATACGGAGTATTAAATGAAAATGACATTTTAAAGCTTTGTAATTGGAAAATGGGATAACAAATAAAATAAGAGGGAATAATACACACGTATGATTATAGTTGTTTGAGAGTGAAAGATAGATCAAGTGGTTAGAGTTTTCTTCTCGATTTCAGAACGAAGATTATGTGATCGATCATCACCTCCGCTATTGGCTCTCTAAACACCAAATTAAAAATTAAAAAAAAAATGATTATAGTTGTTTAATTGAATTGGTTTCTAGACCAACATGGGAATTGGGAAGGAGGTCAGTACGATGGTGATGAAGGTATGCGCCAAAGTGCATTGCATATAGCAATGGAACTAGGAGCTGATTACATCGATGTTGAGTATAAGGTACTTTTTCGCCCTTACTAACTCTCATTATATACTCCGTACTATGGTAGCAGGATGTAATTGTGTTAATGCACATGATTTTTTTTTTAAAAAAAATTAAATCGTTTCCAATTGTTGAATACGTGGACATATACAATGTATGAGAAATTAGGAGGACATATACATTGGCTAAACAAGTTATCGAGGTTTAGTCATTTGGCTCTTGTAGGTTGCAGATGAGTTTTTCAAGTCCATTGACGATGATGAAAAGGAGCTTACTAAGACCACCGTCATAGTTTCTTCTCATAACTTCGTAAACACCCCGTCACTTGACGAATTAGGAGGACTTTTGGCAAGTATACAAGCTGTTGGAGCTGATATAGTAAACATTGCAACTACTGCTGTAGATATTACAGACAATGCACGTATTATGCAATTGCTTACTTATTCTCAGGTTCGTGCAACAATTCAAACGTCGTGTTATCTTTCACGTATGAAAACAAATTGCATTACACCATCATCACTCATGGTATAAAAATTTATACCATCCATCTCTCTCTACCACTTTCTCACTCCTCCACATCATGTATACCACAATACAATATACTTTCTCCAAAAATCACCCCACCCATGGTATGAAAAAAAAGTTTACCAACACACTTTCTCTCTCCTATACATGTATGAATTATACACTTAATTAAATTATAATTATATTTTGTTTTATATTGAAAATAACTAATTACTATTTATAAAGTTAATTAAATAAATAAGCAATTTAGGTAGAAAAAAGTGGATTTCAAAAATATATAAAATTATATCAATATGGGTGTCTATGTGTATGTCTTGAAAATTTATGAACAATGATAATTTTTTCATAATTTTTGACTTTATAATTTTTCTTAAAATGCAATTGAAAAAAAATAAATAAAAGATATATGATAACCAGGCCACATGGCGTGACCTGATTGGTTCATGTTTCACGTGGAACGAAGCAAAAGTTTACCATGGGATGATATATACCATTTGATGGTGTAGTTTTATGCCACCAATGTAGTAAAAATTTGCAACTTTTATTTGAATGAATATTTGCACCGTGTTATAAAATTATACCACGAGTGTTGATGCTCTTAAAATTATTTTTCAACAGGTAATACACATGTTATATTTAGTATAAATTGTAATCATTTTCAATTAACTATTACAAATGACCAAATCAAAATCAGGTGGAAATTAAAAGTTAAGGCTCGTTTGATATTATTGTTAGTTTTCAGTTCTTGATTTTATAAATTCGAAAATAATATAATTTAAATAGAATCATGAACTAAAGATAAGTAATTTATTCCCACAATAATAATATGTTAATTTTGAAAATTAACCACTAAGTAATGAAAAATACTTTTTGTGGTGAAATATGGAAAAAAAAAAAAAAGTGATAACGAACTAGCCCTTATTGATTAGCTAAATGCTTGTGTTACATTCTCAGGTTCCAATGATCGGAGTTGTTATGGGTGAGAAAGGACTAATGTCAAGGATACTTAGCGCGAAATTTGGAGGATTCCTTACATATGCAACCCTTGAGTGTAGAGAATCAGTTCCAGGCCTAGGACAATCCACTATAAAAGATCTCTTGGACTTGTACACTTTCAGGCAAATAGGGGCTGATACCAAAGTTCTTGGCGTGTTAGGAAATCCTATATCTCACAGCAAGAGTCCTCATCTATACAACGCGGCATTCAAGTCTGTTGGTTTCAATGGCGTTTATTTGCCTTTGTTGGTGGATAGTGTTTCTGACTTTCTAGAGACATATTCATCTCCTGACTTCGTTGGATACAAGTACATATATTGGACTATTAAGGGTCTTTTCGACGGTAGTTTTTGAGGTAGCTGTTAGCTTTTAGACTATTGACAGCTCACATCTACCTCTTTAGCTAACAACTGCTCAAAAGCTAGTAGCCAACAACTACAAATACTTTTGTCGAACAAACCCTAAGTTAGTACTATTGCGATGTATTATAAAAATCATAATTATAAGTGTATCTTTAGTTGTCTAATCACTAGCTAGTTAAGCAAATAGAACTCATTCTTAGTATATTAAAGCACATGACATTCGTGTGCAGTTTCACAATTCCTCACAAGATCGCGGGACTTAAATGTTGTGACGAGGTGGATCCAATTGCAAAGGTGCATATAATTCTCTTACTCTTTCATTAGCACTTTAGAATTCATCATATCAAATTCCTCAATTCCGTGTTCCAAAAACCCTTGTCAATTTATATCACATTATACTATAAACTTATATACATAATTAATCTTGTAGGAAATTGGTACCATAAGTTGCATGATTAGAAGACCATCTGATGGGAAACTAATAGGCTATAACATTGATTGCATGGGAGCCATTGCAGCTATTGAAGAAGGATTACAAGGTTTGTTTGTTAATTAAACAAATACTGCGAAGTATATATGTTTTTGTTTTTTGGTGTTCCACCCAGTCCACCCTTTTGGGCTAATCCGATTCAGGATCAGTTTTGGGTGGAGTTGCAAATAAATGTTAACAAAGGTAGTATATTTGTTTCTTTAGCTCATATTCATTACTTTTCAATAAACTATTAACATCACTATCTTTGTTTCTCTCATATTCATTATTACTTTTCAATAAACTATTAAAACATCTCTACCTTTCTTTTACAATTTTTTAGTACTCCAACAACATTACTTACCTCTTATTTTATTTAAGTGAATTAAATTGCCTAAAACTATGTGTGGATCAAATTGTATCACTTATTAGAACGCGGAGGGTGTATCTTTTTAGTTGCAATATCATGAATTATATTGTATTATTTGAAATTTGTATGTCTTAGGTATAAGTGATGGAAGCTCAGCGCTGGAATCACCATTGGTCGATAAAGTCATGGTTGTCGTTGGAGCTGGAGGTGCGGGAAAGGCACTCGCCTATGGAGGAAAGTCTAAAGGCGCAAGAGTAATCGTAACTGATTGCATTATAGGTAGTTTTGCTATAAACATATTGGCATTTTATAATGAGTCATTGATTGGTTTACTTGAATTTCTTTGTTTGATCAGCTACTACCAAGTACGAGTATTTAATTATGATTGATTTTTAAACTTTTTAGAACATTTAATTATGATTGATTGTTATAGGAATTAATTGTTTAAATAATTTAATTGCCAAACAAGAAAAACAATATTTTACTGATCACAAAAATCCATCGGTAAACCCTGAAAACTCATTAATTTACCAATTATTATCGGTCAATAAGACAACTAGTAAAGATTTCATAGGTAAATAAAAAATTATCGAGTGTTTTATTGTCGACAAATTTTTACTGAAGAAATAGTTTTGCCTACCGTTTCCACTTTGTTGTTATTTACTGACTGGTAATGCCACAATTGCCATTTTTTTGACAAAGGATAAAACAGACTGACTACATATTATTACTAAAGCAAATTAAATGAGCAGCAAGTTCTCGAGCAATTTGATGAGCACGATGAACACTGACAGGATATAGTCGTATCACCTAATAAAAAATAATTCCTAAATTCCTCTAACTATGCAGATAGGGAAGAAGGGTCGAACCACTAGGAAACAAGTCTTCCTATTCCTAATTAATTAAATAATCTAAATTATAACGTAACTAAATTATAGATATAATGAAATTAAACTAAGGGTGATAAAAGCAGGGATAAATCAATTAATAAAAGCCTAGGGAATATGTTCACCAATAAATAATATTCCAGGGTAAAACACAATAATCAATCATCAATGCATCAATTAATCAGATCATAAAGGATTTTCGCTACTTATTACAATCACAGAGTTAATTTACTAGTATTAAATCTCATCTCTCGAATCTCGACTTAAACATTTATAAATTAGTCCGCCTATTGAAACTAAGCCTAAACATCAATTCTCATCTCTCGAATCTCAAATCAATATTCCAAAACTCATACAATTAAACTAGGCCTAATCTAATTGCATAGCATTAAATCAATCAATAAGAAATTAATCAAGCATTGACAATCAACCACAATAAATTACCATGACCCCTTCATATTATTTATGGATCCCCATAAACCCTAGAAAGAAAACTACTCACGCATAATTAAATCTAAACTAATCAAAGCAATTAAACAAGGCATGATGAATGACCAAAAAAAAAAAAAAAAAACAAGGCATGATGAAACATTTTAGTATTGATAAGGAGTTGAAGGGCACAACTTAGAAACTTAAAAAAGCATGGGCACACCTTAAAAACTCGAATACCTTAGGGGTACAGCTTAGAAAAACCCAGAAATTAATTACTGAAAATAACAAAGAAGAAATCGTTACCAAAGTTAACGGAAATAATGGACTGAATAAAGAACAAAGTTGTAGAGTTGTAGGGAGAGAAAAACAATGAGAGAATTCTAATCTAAAAGCTAAGTAAAGAGAGAAAGCTATGAGAAGAGGTCCTAAACTTGCTTAATAAAAACGTATTTATATTAAACTAGAAATTCCTAAACTTGAACGAACTAAAACGACGCCTAATCTTCTTTCAGAAACACGCGCCTGGTCAGGCGAGGCAGCGCCCGACCACTGTAGACACCTATTTGTGTCTCCCCAAAACCAAACCCAGTGATGAATATCTTTCATGTCATTTGATTACCGAACAAAGAAAAAGTGTGAAAAGTCTAATGATGAGGATGTTTTAATTAAAATATATTTTCTTTCTGTTTTTGAAAATGTTTATTTTCTTACCCTATTTTTGAAAAACGTGCATTTCATTTTAGTTTGGTCCATGATATATATCCAATAATGGTATAGTTGGATGGGGCTTGAAAAGACCTTTCTAACGATATATTATAAGCCCAATTTCGATCAATAATGAGGATGTTATGGCCAAAATACTATACTGGGCTCGAACCGGATCTTACCTACAACCCAATGATCATGTGGAAGGTCCAAAGGTTTAATCCTATTCCTAAACTAATTAGGATTAATTAGAAGCTTCTTTAAGTTTCTAAAAGATCTTAATTATCCTTTTTGAAAAGGTAAGATTAAAGAATTTTAGTTTAATAAAAACTTTCCTTTTTTAAAACTTTCTTTTCACTACTACAATTGTTGCAAAATCCAACGTTCTTAACAACAACGTGTCAACAAGGAATAGCTTTAAAAATATACTATAATGTATGATAACTCTCTTTCTTGAACCATTGTTATAAGTTGATATCATTAACAACAAATTATGAATCAGACAACATTTTCTATTTAAGTGGTGTTAAAGGAATACAATTTTAATAACGGGCCTTTGGTAAACGTTGTTGAAGGGCTTTAGTATCTTCTACTGTAGTAAAATTCCAATAAACTTTTTCTGCTTAAAAAATAATAATAAAAAAATAAAATAAAATAAAACCAATAAACCCTCGAAATTTATCCCCAAAAAAGCATCAGCTTCTAGTCCCTCTATGACTCTATCCCACTCTCCCACAAAACCCACTCACAATAGAATTTGGCGGGCTGTGAAACTCTACTTCTCCGCTTCCACTCTCCATAAACGTGATGGAACTGCTACTATTCCACTCTCATTGTTTCTGTAATGGTCATATATATAAGGGAAAAAAAAATAAATCAAATCTCACTTTTCTCTTTCCTCGTTCTGGTTTGCAAGACATCTTTCGGTACGGTATTCTATCAATTCATCTTGATTTCTTAGGGTTCGTTGCTTGAATTAAACTGATTTGAGTCTAATTTGATGTAATTAGGGAGGCTGAGGTTACGATTTGTAGAGTACATATCAGACAACTTATTTGCGGACTTCGGTAAGTAATTCATCTACTCCGTATTACTAATTTTTAGCTTTTTTGATGTTTAATTTGTTTAATTTAAATTGCATGTGGCTTCATTGGCAAGAATCTGGGTAAATTGTTTCATGAAATTAGATGTATGGTTGAAATTAGATGTATGGTGAATCAGTTTTGGTCGGTTTACCATGATTAAGAGGACATGTATACATTATAGCTAACACACAATTAATTTAATTTATATTATCTTTGGTATGTAGCTAATTCAAATTTGTTTCTTTCCCCATATTGATATTCTGTTTGTTGGATTGGTATGTTGGTTTCTTTCCAATTATAAAAAGAAAATACAATTCCATATTGATTTATTGGGATGATGTTGGCAACGGGTGGGATTTAGTGAATTTTTTTTTATTGGAGCTTGTATTATTTTACTTGGCTATGAATAATTACACAATTTCATGTGCATTTAGAATGATATATATTTCGTATTTAGAGTAATAATTGCTTCTGGTTGGTAAACATAGTTTAACAACTACAATGTAAGGTTATATTATACTTCATCCGTTTCTATTTAGTTGAAGCTTTTGATTTAGGCACACATATTAAGGAGAGAAGAGAGATTGATAGAGAATGAAAAAGCAAGTGGGGTAGCTTGTAAATGCAAGACAAAAAATTTACCTAAAAAGGAAACGTGTCAACTAAAAAAAAACTTCCTAAAATAGAATACATGTTAACTAAAAAGAAAGAAACGGAGGTAGTAGTTTAATTTGCTTCTAAATGAGGTAAAAGTACTTGACATCCTTAATTAGACTTGTAGGCCTAATACACAATAACACTAGAACTTCGTATATTGGTTACTATATATGACTTACAATCATGAACTCAATGTGTAGGCGCCATTGGATATTATGTGTGATTGATCCGGAAGCTGATGTTGTCTATTATTTGGACCCCTTACGAAAGGAAAATTGTCCTATTGGAGATGATTTACGTAGCGTTGTAGAGACGTAAGCTTAATTATTAAAATACTATTAAGATTTTTTTTATCCATACATTTGACAATATTTATATTTTACTTTTCTTAAGTTTGAAAAATATTTAACCATTTGATAGGGCATTACTTATATACAGCACTGTCAAAACGGTTTGACAGTTCGGTTTCGGTTCGGTTTAAAATCGGTTCGATATTTAATCGGGTCGGTTTGGAATCGGTTTAATTGTCTCACGGATCAGTTTTGGTTTGGTTTAAATAGTTATCGGTTCGATTTGGTTTCAGTTTATTTTTAAGCGGTTTTAATTAGGTTCGGGTTGTAAACAGTTTGGGAAGTAAACGGTTCGGTGCAGACGGGTTGCGGTTTGTAAACAGTGCGGTGTAAACGGTTTTTATCCCGGTTCAAACAATTTCGGGTTGGAAACGGTTTCGGGTTAGAAACAGTTCGGTTCTTTTTTGTTCAGTTTTTAACTGGTTCGCGTAGACACCCATTTGTGTCTCCCCAAAACCAAACCCAGTGATGAGTACCTTTCACGTCGAATCATAATCGAATGAAACGAAAGTGTGGAAAGGTCTAGTGTTGCGGAAAGTTTTTATTTCTTTTCTCTTCTCTCTGTTTTTGAAAACTTTATTTTAAGAAAACAGCCAATCCAGTTTGGTTGTTCCATGATATGGGTCCAATAGAGGTGTAGTTGGATGGGGCTGGCAAAAACCTTTCCAACGATATATTATAAGCCCAATTCCGATGAATATTGAGGAAGTTATGGCCAATTTACTAAACTGGACCCGGTTTGATCTTTATGTACGGCCCAATGATCTAGGGGAGGGCCTAATATGATTTATCATTCCTAATGCAATTAGGAATGGTTTTAGTCTTCTAGAATCTTCTAGAAGGTTCTTTTCATTCCTAATTCAATTAGCATTGATAAGTTGACTTTGTTGACTTTTCAAAGTTTTAATCAAAATCAAATAGCATTTTCGAAGAAATTATATTATTTTATCCTCCAGTACGGTAAACTTATCGGATTTTCGAAAACGCGTTAAAATCAAGACTGGCGCCCGACGCTAGCCATTGGCGCCCGACGCTAGCCATTGGCGCCTGGCGCTAGCCGTTGGTGCCTGGCGCCAGCTAGCCAGGGTTGGCGCCAGTTCTGTTTCCCGCTCGTCAGACTCTGTTTTGTTAAATTATCTTTTTTGGCTGAATTTCTCTATAAATATCGTATTAAAAACTCCGTTTTCATTCACCATTCATCGTCAATTCTCATCTACAATCATCTACATCTATCATTCACCAATTCTCTTCATTCACAAGTTTTAATTAGCATTCTTTAAAACATTCATCTTTCTTTCTTACTTTGTTTTCATACAAAATTCTGCATTCACAAGATCAAGAAACACCTAGCCATATTCGAAGTTGCCTTCGCCCTAGACGTGAAAGGTTTTAATTTCTGAGGGTTTGGTCCCAAATCTCTATTTCAATTATTTAATTTAATTGTTTTGATTATTATTTTCCTTGAAGTTACTAACGTGTGTATTTTGTTATTAGAAAGAGGTACGAAGCATCAAAGTAAGTACTTTAATGGTTTTAATTGATATTATGATGTAGAAAACATGTCTATGTTGTTATGATATTTCTAGTATCATGTCTAGGGTAATTTTAATATTAAATATGATTGTTACGACGCTTCCTATGTTCTTCCTAATATTTATGAATGTTAGTATCATGTTAGGGTTAAAGATTTGATCTTTATTGCTTAGTGACATGCTAGGGTTTGTTATTAATCTTGTTAGTATCATGCCTAGGATCTTGCTATGTTTATTATGCTTTAATATTAACATGATCATGATTATGATTTTAACTGTTATAATTTATGATGATTATTATTATTATTTTGGATAACGATTATAATTATTGTTATTGATTATTATTATGTTGCTTGATATTTATTGCTTGATCACACCCTTTATTGCATGTTTAAGGGAATTTTGGTACTTGTAATCGCGCTTAATAAGATAATTAATAATCTTGTTTAGGTTAACTGTGATTATAATTCAAGTGATCGCCAATAATAGTTTATTTGTGCATTAATATTCAACCAACATAGATTAAACAGGTTTAGGGTTAATTCTATTGATTGCATGTTAATTAGAAAGCGCACATGAATACGAGCAGAATAAAGTAGAGGCCTAATTATTAGGGCAGGTTCAATCTCTTTTAGGTTGGATTTGTACCTTCATTCCCGAACCATTATTTGGTTCTAGACCTTATGGAATTGACGATCTCTTGGATCGTTAAGGGGTGTAACCTTCATCCTATGAACGGTTTACAAGTTCCTTAAAAACTTGTTGGCGACTCTTTTGCTCTATCTTCTTCCCTTTTGGACGCCACCGTACTTTAGTCTAAGCAAGCTATCTAGTGACTATAAATTTCAGGGCATGAGTTCACAAGGGGTCTCGCTGGACAAAGAACTTCTCCCGCATAAGTTCAACGCCGCTGACATCCCAAAATTCAAGGCAACAGATAATCCTTATTTTCATCTATGAGCTTTCGAAACTATAATGAACATTAAAGGCATCGATAAGAAGGTCTTCCCTTCTCTGTTCCCACTATCTCTCGAAACCGTTAGTCAACAATGGTTCTTTTCTCTCGAGAAAGAAAAAACCTCTTCTTGGGAGTCGATAACAAACTCTTTCATAGATAGATATAAGTGCAACATCCAAGACAAAACAGACCATAGACAACTTGAGATGTTAAAACAAAAGGAAAACGAAGGGTTCATTTCTTTCTTCAATAAATGGAGGGAAACTTCCGCTAATATGGTCAAGACTCCTACCGAAAAAGAATCTGTGAGGATGTTTATCAAGAATCTCCAAGAGAAGTATTCAAAACACTTAAAGTACCAACACAAGTTAGATACTTTCAAAGCTGTCTATAATATAGGCATTGACATTGAAGATGACCTTCTGAAAGACAATGGTGCGAGAGGAAAGAAGAACGACCCTCCTTCTTCTTCCTCTACCATTAATGAAGTACATGCCACAAACGCCTCTAAACCACGAATCCAGAGATCAAAAAGAGTGTTCACTCCACTTGGTATGAGTTATGAAACGACTTTCGAGAAGCTACATCACAAAGGACTAGTCAAGCCCATAGGGCCCATCAAAGATCCGGTTCCAGAAGCCAGGCCACCTAAGTGGGATCCTAATAAGCATTGTAAATATCACCAAAGAAAGGGTCACAACACCGAGGAGTGTTGGAAACTCAAAGAAGCCATTCAAGATCTGATCGATAACAATGAAACTTCCGAGATTCTAGCCATCGAAGATGACCAAGCATCCTTTGATCCATCACTTCTTATCACCCCTGTAGGAGAGCTTATGATCGAGACAACTTATATGACCTCTCTCGATGAAGTGGCCATAATTGAGGAGGATGAAAGTCTTTTCTTAGATAATACCAAAGAAGACTCGTAAAGTCTAAAAGAGGACATTTGAAAACTGCAAGATGTCATTGCCATGCTCTTGAATGTGGTAGAAGGATTAGCAAATCGGGTGATGGCCATTGGACAAAATTCTCGCCAAGGGTTTAATGAAGAACTCAATGCTCCTAAGCCACAAAAAAAACGGACCATTGAAGAATACACACCAATAAGAATGACTTACAATGAAGCTTTCGACTGTCTTCAAAATCAAGATCTTATCCACCCCATTGGTCCCAGTCAAGACCCTCCACCTGAAAAGCGGTTTCCCAATTGGGATCCAAATTCTTATTGTCGATACCATAGAGGTCGTGGTCACACCACCGAAGTATGTCTCACCCTCAAAGATCGTGTTCAAGATCTCATTGATTCAAATCTCCTTCATGTTCCTCCGCGCGACAAGAAGGCGAAGATTAGTAACAATAGTATCAGTGGCTGTAAAGGGAAGAAGAACGACTATCTTTCTTCTTCCGAAAACACCTACTCTAGTAATAGTGTTGGTACTTTCAACCTTAGTGAGATCCTAGCCATGGGTAATCGAAAGCAACTAAAAAGGGAATTTACCCCTATTGGAATTAGCTATGATGATGCTTTCGATCAACTCCATGCCAAGGGAATCATTACTCCCATTGGACCTATTAAAGATCCCCCACTTAAGAAAAGATTGCCTAGTTGGAATCCAAACGAACACTGCAAGTACCACCAAGGTAAGGGTCATGCTACTGAGAGCTGTTGGAAGCTAAAGGAGGATATCCAACATTTGATTGATAACAACAAGCTTCCCATACATCCAGTTAACAAGAAGAGCGAGTGATGATAAAGGAAACAAAACAAGACAAGAGGCGAGCTTCAACGACAAGATTTTGTGACCTCTTTTTTTTTTCTATTTCTTTTTTTATCTACCCTTTCCGCAATAAGTCTAGCATAGACACCCTTTTTTTTTCCTTTAGATTATTTTTGTAGTCTTTTTTCCTTTTCCTTTAATAAAATGAACATTTATTTCCTTACATATGATCATTTCATTATATTGCATTAAAAAAATAATAAAATAAAAAAAAATAATAAAAAAAATCCATGTCGAATTAAGCACAAGGTATACCAATGATTTGAGGCACCCCTTGTAGCCACATCATATCTCCTTTCACCCGTCTCATATACAATCCTTTCTTCATAAACCACTTTGAGCCTCGTCTAACGATAGATCCTTCTTCTTTCAACCTACATCTATCTAATCTTGGGATGAGACAGTGTGCAACTTATGCAATTCTAAACAAAAGCTTGAGTATTTCAAAAGATAGCAAAAATATAAATAAAAGTGTACAAAAGGGTAAGTGTTCCAATGTCTTTGATATGAAAATATCTTTGATATGAACACGTCTCAGATTGCGTCTCTTATCGAGTGCTCGGTACCGTGCCTGAGAAATATGAATGCCAAGTGAGTGATAGACCGCATGATCGGGATTGCCCACACTTATAAAAATAAAATGGATGCTAAAGCAAAAGATAAAAAAGAGCTAAAAAAGAGTAAAAACTCAAGCATAAATATAAAGATTCAAAAGCAAGGTTGCACACCTTGGGGGCTTATCTAGGGTCTTGAGCCTTTATCCCCTTCTTCTTCAAACCTTTAGCCTAACCACGTTACAACCCTTAAAAAGACCTTTTTTGAGGTATACACACTTGTGCGAGGTTCGGCTAGAGCTACGTTCGGCCTAATTCCTAACGGATACGTAGGCAACCTCACATCGAGGTGCGGCCGTAATAAACATGCATTCATATTCACATTCACACACTTACATCATGATCGTATCAAGGGATATCCTATGCTCATCCCTATTCACTTAGAGCGAGACTTGGGGGCTTGATCCCTACATTATTAGCTAACCTAGCCTAAGAGTCACCACCATTTGACTCTTTTCAATAATATATTTTTCCACACACTTAGCTCTTGCGGCCTAGCTTTAGTGTCACTTTCACACACTACACAAATACATGACCAAATATACTTTCCCTTAGGAACCCTTTGTCATGAAATCTTAACATAATG